GACCCAATCACCCTTTTGCATCCTTAGGGAAGGCATGTGCCTTATCGGTGCGGTCAATAATAAGCTAATGATGATGATGCCGGCCTTAAAGGGATTAGTACGCTCTTTTTTGAAGTTTTTCGGGTCGTATTGATTTGAAAACACTTGAACTTGTGTCAGATGTGGGTTGGAATTAGGGCTGCCATCTCTAAAATGTGGCAACTAGAATAACACGCGTGATAACCCCGGATTTTGAAGCCCAGAACCCGGACAGACCAATAAAAAACAGTTAAAAATGTCACAAATCAACTTTTTTATGTTGATCTAGGCAAAGAGCTAGCGGGCTACCTCATAATAAGTGGTCACTGCTGCCCATGGACACTTGCAGCACCAAGGGCCACTCATGCGTTGCCGTAAATTTTTAAACCCGGACTACAAATAAAACCCCGCCCGGACGCTCCCCGGACGCCCTGTAAACTAGGACAAATCCGGGGAAACCCGGACGGATGGCAGCCCTAGTTGGAATTGACTAATGATAAATTTCTCCATTGACTATGTTCGCGAGGTGAATTTTATTGACGTCACGTGTACTCAAATGTTTTGCACTGATTATCCGATGTTGCTCTATCCGAATCGGAATGCTTTGTTTACAAAAACCGCTCCTATTCTTTCGTCATTCTTATCATTTTCCTTAAAAGTGGATTGGAGATGAGCTGATTTCCCTCTCAAATTGGAGCACCCGTTTGGGGAAGCAACCTTACAGAAGATCACAGTAAAATAGCATTGCCGTTTGATGGTGTTGTGTTCATGTCGGTGAGTTAGGTCCCAGGGCACCATGGGATAGGGGTTTCAGGGTAGACAACGGCATTATATTTTTGGTATAGCAAGCGTCTATTTGCTTCTTTGCCACCTTTTAACGTAAAGAAGACATTACATGCTAAAGAGTTTTTTGAAGTTATACTTCTTTAGGCGCGTTATGAAAAAATTATGAGAGTGAAATATTAAGATGCGCGCGCATCACTGTAACACAAAAAATTAACAGCATGAAGTTGGTCGCTTCAGCACCATCTCTTGACCATTGGTGTAGTAGAACCAAAAACCACATCTTTATTTTTTGTAATAAAGTAACAAAAAGTATTTGTTAATCTGGAACAACGGAACCAAAGCGCGATTCAGGAGACTACAGCGCCATCTCTTGACCATTGGTGTAGTAGAACCAAAAATCACATCTTTATTTTTTGTAATAAAGTAACAGTTATAGGTATTCATATTTATAATATTTATCCACATCTTCTAGTTTGTATATTCGGAATACGTGTTTGAGTTTCATACAAGTGCAAATCACATATGTTCTAATAAATTATATTCAGTAACGATTTTAATTGAATATTTTGATTATTTATTTATTTTTTCAAATTAAAACTGAACTTTATTGACTGTGTCCTTTTCCAGACTTTTTATTAATTTATTGTAATTAATTATTTGCATGCAATTAAAAACTAATTTTAAACGATGCCAAAGAAGGATAACTTCTCACGCGCCTACACGCACCCATTTTTTTTTACTAGAAAGATAGAAAATTCTACACCGACAATGAGGGCCGCGGTAGGATAATGGTCAGTGCATCGGCCCGTCGGCTGCCTGGTCCGGGTGGATTTTTCTTGTAAAATTTTCTTTCGCTTTAAACATTTAGCAGTTGTATATTAATAAATAAAAATATGACATTAAAACTAGACTTGCAGCGAATAGTATATTCGGCAGTATACCGAATACCGAATATTCGGCGAGGCCCCTGACCGAATAGCCGAATATTAGGCAAAAGTATTCGGCTGGATTTTAGCGCCAAAAACTTGTACAGACGTGATTGTTTCGCGCTCCTTTCTTTTGTTCTAATCTGCCGTTCTCAAGCTAAAATGCGGCTAAATGACAAAACCAACTTTTGAGATCTTTAAATTATTGCTATTATGTAACCATTCATCACATGACTGAATGAAAAAAACTGTTAACTTGTTTAATACAGAAAATAATTAAATTATGTACCAATGACTACTTAATAAAAGATTATAAAAGAAATGAGAACATTACCCTTCTAAATTTTGATTACCACAATAATTCAAATACATAGAATCGTCCATTTTTCCGATTCAGAAGATGATTATGTACCTGTGTTATGTACCAATTACTACTTAAATGATTATATAACAGAAATGAAAATATGAATATATACGTAATCACTCGATTTTAATTTTTCATTTTACCAATTATTTCTCTATGACAAAATATATTTTTAAGAATTCGTTATTCGGCCGAATAATATGTAGATATTCGGTATTCGGCCGAACATAATAAAAGCAGCCGAATAGGCCGAATACCGAATAGTAACCGAATATTCGTTGCAAGTCTAATTAAAACCCAATCCCCTAACACGCGAAGACCTGGAACCCTACTTACCAGCAGAAACGCAACACCACCAAAAGCTAGTGTTATTTCACTGTGATCTTCTGTAAGGTGGAGGTTACTTCCCCAGGCGGGAGCTCCAATTCAAGCGGATAATCCGCTATGCCCTAACTCTCTTAAACGAATTCACGATATATCGAAAATCAACTTTGAGGGTTCAGAAGATGTAGTCAGATCAGTTTATAATACATTCAATTGCGATATTTTTATACTCTCTTCGTTCATTTGTCAATATCAATAGTATTGTTCAATCATCATCATCATCATCATCAGCCTATTATTGTCCCCACTGCTGGGGCACAGGCCTTCCCTATGGATGGAATAGGGAGATTGGGCCATGACTCACCACGCGGGCCCAGTGCGGATTGGCGAGTACTAACGACTGCAGATGCAGCCGGGACCAACGGCTTAACGTGCCTTCCGAAGCACGGAGGAACTCGAGATAGAAAATTTTTGGTCACCCATCCAACGACCGACCACTGCGAAAGTTGCTCAACTTCAACGATCGCAGCCGAACGCGCTAACCACCTGCGCCATCGAGCTCCTCGATATTGTTAAATGATACGCATTATTTACTTGGTATCTAATTTATTTAAGTTAACAGTTTTAGAAAGAAAAAATATGTGTCTTGATTATAGATGTATTATCTCTTATCTATTAGACAAGTCCGTCCGTCCGTCCGTCTGTGGTGCTGTTTCAGCGGCCAAACCGTAAGAGATAGATAAAGAGAATGTTTAAGTTATAAGTTAAGAATAGTCTGATAAGACTACAAACCGGATTTGAGTAACGTAGCACTTCCGGTTTTCGAGAAATCAGGTTTTGGTGAACATTTGGTTCACTGGTTTGCTAGTTTTATCTATTGTAATGTATTCAGTGCAATACAGTATAATTATTATTACTAATTAAAAACGTAAATATCTATTAATAAGCTATTATACCTAACTACCTTGATGTGTATTATTTTAGCGATAGGTCATTTCATTAATAACTCATTAATTACTTATTACATTTTTCTATAGAATTATGAATAGTATTTTAAATCTGTATGCTATTTGATATATTTTTTGACGTGACAACGTCTTAAATTAGGTTGCGGCTGGGAGTCACTTATGAAAAAGTGTAACGCTCGGTAACGTTACGATGAGTTTAAGTTTACATGTACAATGTTTTAGTAAACAAAATATATTTCTATAGTTAAAATTTGTGCAATTCTTATTTTCATTCAATTCCTTGTTCCTATTGTGCAATTTAATTATATTCATATCAATAAATATTCTACCGAGAAAAAGACGTTGTCACGTAAAATCTTCGCCCGTAAAACCGACTTTACAGGAAACCATTTTTTTGTAATTTGTTCCATATGTATTTGCATGACTTTTTTAAATGGCAAAACATGCGCTGAATCCCCTTTATGTATATCGTGTATTAGCAAATAAAGATTATGATAACAAATATTACTATTTAAATTTTATGCTAAATTTCTACTTATTTCGAAAACTGTGAGAAACAGTATTAAATTAATCTTATACTTGAAAAAAAAAATTTTTTTATTTAAAAAACCAACAGCGTTACATTGAATACTTACTAATACTTAGAACTATAGGTAAGGCCCAATAACAGGTTTTTTGGTATTTCAAAAAAATTATAGACATGGACGTGCTAGGTGAAGAATAATTACTGATAAGAACTTATTACAGCGATATGATTAAGGTGCTGTGCAATAGCTGGTTTTATCTCATGTGAATTTTAACCTTTAACAAATAAAATAACAATTTATCTACTCTTAAAAGAAAAGAATGTCATAAAGCTCTTTCTAATCTTTCTTGAATTTTAAATGTAAATTTCATCATCATCAGCCTATTAATGTCCCCACTGCTGGGGCACAGGCCTTCCCTATGGATGGAATAGGGAGATTGGGCCATGACCCACCACGCGGGCCCAGTGCGGATTGGTGGGTGCTAACGACTGCAGATGCAGCCGGGACCAACGGCTTAACGTGCCTTCCGAAGCACGGAGGAGCTCGAGATAGTAAATTTTTGGTCACCCATCCAATGACCGGCCACTGCGAAAGTTGCTTAACTTCAACGATCGCAGCCGAACGCGCTAACCACCCGCGCCATCGAGCTCCTCAAATGTAAATTTAATGAACTGTTAAAAATAAATAAAAAAGCAAAATATAAAGGATGTGGTTTGTGTATATGCCAATTATGTTTTAATTTGTGTATAAACGAAACAAAGAACATAATGAAAAAATATAATGTCTTCTCTTTTTGAGAAACATTCATTATAACACAAAATACAGTTTTTGTCAAAAATACAAAATCAATAAACAGAAATAAAAACAGTAACATTTCGGTTTGTGTGCTGATTCTCTGTTCTATTTAACTTATTATTGTACATACTGAAAATAAAGATACATACGCGTGAACTACTCACACAAAACGCTCTCCCACTGAAAACAACATTCGAACACAAGATTCACAATTCACTGAAACACAAATTTAATCAATAGAAGTGGTCACTCCCTCAATTTTCACTTGGGCAAATAGAATAACAATACTAACAATATTATATAATGTATTTTCACTACAGCTACTGTTTATCGTTGGCAATCAATATCACACTGAACATTTTAATAGTAATGCTGTTTCTATAATGTGTTCGGAGTGCGTTCGACGCGGCATACGCGGGGGCAGTTGATCGGTTACTAAATAGATGGAGCGCCGCAGGGTCTCCAGATTAGGAGTTCGTAATTTCCCCAAATCTGATTTTATTTCCCCAAAAAGTTACTTTTCCTGATGACCTTCGTAGGTGGTGGTTTTCTAAGTATCACTTTCTCTATCTTGAGTTTCAATCGCGGTGAGAAAAAAATGTTTATTTGAACTTCAGCCGTGGCTGTTTATATATATGTATATCGACAATGGATAAGCAAAATTGCTCACACGTCACTTTGGTGCTGTTTATAATAAAATAAACCCTAAATAAAAACCTTAAAGAAATTAAGTTAATTTTTAAGCAGCGCCAAAGTGACGCATTAGCAATTTTGATTTTTCACTGTCGATATTATCTAAATAGATATACTTATAAATATAACATTATGTATACATATATATATTTTAAGCGGTCTCCTGATATAAGTAAAAACACTTGCAGTACTTATTTTAATGACCGTGCAAAGGAATTTCTTAAAGTTGGCATAATTACAATGGAATACATAAAATTGCGCGCAATTTTAGTGGTGGCATTGCCTAAACTTTGGTTAAAAAAATATTTTTGCTTTAAAGTTTTCTTCAATAGTATCCCCAAATTTGATTGTGGAAGTTTTCACATTTTCGTTTCCCCCTAAATGTGTCCCCAAGTTCATATTTCTCCCTGAAATGGGGAAAAACTCCTTATCTGGATACATCCGAGCGGTGGCGTGCGTTACCGTGAGGGCGTGACGAGGACGCATGCGTCCGCCCGCCCTTGTGCTGCGTGATGACTTGCAATCAGAGTTGCCTAGTAGTTGGGAATGGAGACGAAAATTAATGAATTTTTGATAGCTTCTCATCATGTAGAAAATAACTAAAAAAGCGAGGTCTGAGTGCTAGTGAACCTGTGCCACAACATCCTGAGAGGATCATACTGCCAAATTATTCAAGAGCAGCTGATACACATTCACGCTGCATATTTACACAATATACATGTGATATACAAATAAATACAATAAACAATATGATACAATTATGTGAAAAATAGTCAATAAATAAGAAGCAAAACTATTGTTTTTATTTTATTCATGATTCCTACCTAACCAAGTTTTTCCTAATAGTTATTCTTTAAAATCGCACCGAATAAAATGAATTAGTTGTAATATTAATTCACTTCATACTAAGTTCATACTAAATTCATAGGTTGACCTATGTTTCATTAATGAATTTTTGATAGCTTCTCATCATGTAGAAAATAACTAAAAATGCGAGCGCTGAGTCTCTTAAAGTGTTAGGGATGTCGAAAGTTGAAAAAAATATCAATATATCGATACATCGATCTTTTAAAAAATATCAATATCGGCTTCGATATATCGCGAAAAAAACATCGATATAATTATCGATATATCGGACCAATTTTCCCAAAAATATCGTACAGTAGCTCACGAAATATGACACGCGGAATAATAATGGAACGAAAATAATCTCCCTAAAAATAGACCCTATTTTTGAATGATGACATAGACAATACTCTAAATACAGCACAGATGATAGATATGTTGAATATCATTAATCTGAGATCCAGTTACGATTTTTCCAGATACGAATTTAGTTAGATCGTGATATGCCGCTAATAATTAAAAAAAATATCGTTTTTGATACGAATTTCGATATTGGTTATTTTGTATCGATATATCGAATCAAAATATATCGGCAAAAAATATCGATATATCGATACATCGATATATTTTCAACAAGCCTATAAAGTGTTCTCCGTTTTATAGAAGAATAACACTACATATTTATGAAATTGTGTCTCTTCACTAAGTACGGTTGCATAAGTTGTTCTGGGTAGAGGATACCTTTTTGTGCCTTGTTTTTTATGAGTCGCCAATATTAAGTAACAAGGTCCATGGTAACAATCCCGTTAATAGCTATAATGTTGGTGACCATGAAAGTTTAAACCCATTAAAAGGCTAATGATGATCTAAATGTAGCGGACACAAAGGAAACGTTTATGACCTGGATTGAGACAGGATACTTTTTATCCTGGAAAAGTGACCTGGAATTCTGAGGTATTTTCAAAAAACTAAATTTAACGCGGACGGAGTCGCAGGCGGCCTCTAGTATTGTTACGTAAAGTGTACGCCACGTAATGTAAGTGTGGCCAATAAGCTTGCGGTCTTTTCTCTATACGCAAGGTCGCAACAAATAATTCCACCCACACCTGTTAATTCCATAGAATATAAACTTTATGGAGGAGCTCGATGGCGCAAGTGGTTAGCGCGTTCGGCTGCGGTCGTTGAAATTAAGCAACTTTCGCAGTGGTCGGTCATTGGATGGGTGACCAAAAATTTACGATCTCGAGCTCCTCCGTGCTTCGGAAGGCACGTTAAGCCGTTGATCCCGGCTGCACTGGGCCCGCGTGGTGGGTCATGGCCCAATCTCTCTATTCCATCCATAGGGAGGGCCTGTGCCCCAGCAGTGGGGACATTAATAGGCTGATGATGATGATGATGATAAACTTTATATCAAATCCATACTTAAAGCTTTATCATAAATACCGCGGCATTGTTTTTTCCGCCTAGCTCCCATCAGCCAAGTGCGTACTAATCGAAACGAAAATTACAATCCTTATATATATAATTCTTCTGTGAGTGTGTATGTCACTGAACTTCTCTTAAACGACTGGACCGATTTTGATGAAATTTTTTGTGTGTGTTCAAGGGGATCTGAGAATGGTTTAGATTCACAATTTTGTCCGCTGGACAACCCCTATTTTTTTAGGGCGGTACGAAGTTCGCTGGGTCAGCTAGTATATATATATAAAAATCGGCCACGCGCTGTGTCGGGTTCCGTAGTTGCCTGTAGTTACCACAATATACATATTTGAGCAGGAGTCTTTATTTTCTATGTCGGAAATTAGGAAAACCATTTAAAATCAATCTTTGTATCTCAACTAAAATACCTAAGTTAAAGTCAAACTGCATCTCAAAAATAAATTTGATATTTTTTTTTTAAATTCGATGGATAACCGCCGATTTTTATTTTGTTTCCTCCCAGGCGGGGGAGCGGGTTTGAAATGCTCATGGATACCCTACAGCCGGTTGCAAGGTTATGTCAGACTTTTATTGAACACACCCGTAGTTCATGCTTATGGCCAGAAGGGCGTTACAAGCTTCATCTGAAGCGATCATCCCCTGAGAATGATGCGGTATAACCGGCTTTTTTTTTTGAGTGTGTATGCTGTTGGTCGCAGATGACCTTTACAGCGTCACCGGGTTTGGGGACGGCGAGATCCTAATGGGCCCTGAAGCCGAGAATTGGCGAGTGCCTCTGAGATATTCCACGCGGAAGGCGTCTCCTCACGGGGGGAGTCTCCTCTCCGTCTGAAGCCTCCAGACCACTCGAACCTGAGGGGGCCGGCTCAACTAGAGGGCGTCTCTGAGACTCGGACCTCGGCTCTAGTTAGCCGTTGTCGTGGGGGGATAAACGGGCAATTTTTTTTTTGTTTCCTCCCAGGCGGGGAAACGGGCGTGAAATCCTCATGGATACCCTACAGCCGGCTGTAGGGTTATGTCAGACTCTTACTGACTAAAACACACCCGTGGGGGATGCCTATGGCCTTAGGGGCCTTACAGGCTTCATCTGATGCGATCAACCCCTGAGAAGGGGATGATGCAGGCAATCTCTGCGAATACTTATATACTTTTTATAAAAACATAACGTTAGCGCGACTCAGAAGCCGGTGTCGTTGGTAGTCGCGGTAGCGTTGTGGAACTAATGATATTTTATTGTGGTTTTTAATTAATGATATTTTACTGCTGGGGTACATGCCTTCCCACTTCAAACGCGCAGCCGCTGTGGTTTGATGAGTGCTAACAACTCCAGATGTAGCCGGAATCGACGACATTACGTGCTTTCGAAACACGGAGAATTCCGAGATAATAAATTTTTGGTCATGCATCCCATGACTGGCCCATTTGAAAGTGGTTTAACTTCCACGATCGCAGAGCGAAGGCTCTAACTTTGCTATTTGCGCCATGAAGCTTCATATGAATACCTATCAGAAGCCCCCCCTTGGTTTTTGGTATGGTTTTTGACAGATGGAAGTGATAACCACCCAGCAATTTACTGATGCACTAACTACTGCTGTCTTACAACACGCCACTAAGATACTGGTAAAGAAAAGCATGGACGGATAAAGGAATTCATTCTATAATAAAACATTGTTAGACGACCTCCATGGCTCTAGCGGTAATTACAACGGTTTTCAAGATATAGACATATGTAAATGTCAGTTTAGCAATACATATAAACATCCATTGCTTAGGCACAAATCCTCGTATTCATCACTCAAACATTTGCCCCACTGGGATTCGAACCCGAGACCTCTCAATAGGCGACACCTTCAAATATACATGTATAAATGTATTGTCTTCGTTACTTTGGTATCATTATCATTACTTTAAGGCTGGGCTAATTGGTGTGTGTAAGGAATATTTATTATTATTGTTAATAACTGTACATGTCAAAACTGTTAGCGAATAGGCCTACTGGACTATTTAACATAGTCAGTCAGCTGACGACCGGTCCGGGTCCGGGGTGGATCAATCCGGCTGTTCCGTTGGGGATGCGCGCGCCCGGGTCGATGCGGCCGCGACACTCCGGCGCCGAGCCGGTCCGAGCTCGCGGGCATACCGGGAGGGAATTGCGATATTATATATTTTCGGTTTCACGCGCATTAATTAAAAAGAATAAAGGTTATAGTCGATCACCCTTAAAAGGTAGACTTACGTTGTCGCATTTTTTGAAGTTATACTTCTTTAGGCGCGTTATGAAAAAATGATGAGAGTGAAATTTTAAGATGCGCGCGCATCACTGTAACACAAAAAATTAACAGCATGAAGTTGGTGTAACATGCTGTTACTTTTGTGTTTACCGCACATTAAGAAAATCTAC